CACACACACACACACACACACACACACACACACCCACACACACACACACACACACATTAAATTTAGCTGGAGATGGAATATTTTTCTGCTCAGTCTTGTAACCTTGAATTATATATTTTTTTGTTTCTGATCAGTTTAAAGCCTGAATATTTACTGAACAAACAGCAATATGTTGCACAGTCAACTTGTTTTTATTTTCCATTTTGTTGCAAACACATGTCAAGTTATTTTGCATGTTTTACATCTCGTAACAAATGAAAAAGTTGTGTTGACTCTGACAAACCCTGGTAGGATTGTGAGTCTGAACGTTTCTCACAGGCTCTTTGTGTATTCCACGCACAAATATTCCTGTCAGTTGTGCTGCGAAGAAAACAAAGCAAAGCAGAAAAGGCTTTAGGAGAAACTGTGTGAAAGTGCACAAGTCTTCATCACTTTTCATCTCTCACGTTGCTGCTTTAGTTCTTATTGTAAGATCAGTTCATTCAGTTTATCTCCTGGAATGACTGATGTGGCCTYTGGGTGAGTTTTAGTTTTTAACGTTCTTTTTTTTTTACGAGCCGTTTCATTTAAAGGAGCTGCTGAACAAACAGGAACACAGTGAGTTTTTATTGGAGGCGTTTTAACGTGCGTCGACTGCAGTTTAACACTGAGCTCGGGCCGTACAAACCGAGGAGCCTTAGGTGATGCTGGTGAGCGGACATGTTGCTCAGTCAGCCATCTTCCTCCTCTGCCGCCTCAGGCAGGGTTGATTTGTAACCAGCTTCATTTGGTTTGGCTGCTTTCCAGGATCTTTGGTCACGTCAGTCACCGCTCCGAGTGGCAGCTGGTGAAAATAGACTTCAGGTCCATCTTCAACAGGAGGTGCACGGAGGCAGACTACCAGACATGGCACCTGCACAACCAGGTAGGTTTCAGTGTGGTGACATCATCATCATCATCATCATCATCATCATCATCATCATCATCATCATCATAATCATCATCATCATCATCATGGTGTGAGGAGGTTTACTCAGAGAATCTTAAAGTGTTGGCAGAACCTTTTCTGTGTGGAGTTTCCATGTGTCCTCTGTGCACCTGTGGGTTTTATCTAACTGGTCTGTGTTCAGCCTTAAAGCTGCACAATATGTAGCCCTACATATGGTCATTGAAAGATGAAGACTTTCACATGCAGCTGTGTTTAATGTGTTCACAGAAAGATGCCTGACAGAACTGAGAGTAAATGCAGTTCTTCACAAAGTGTCTTATGGTGAATGTGTTTACATGCTCAGCGTCAGCTTTACACTAGTTTTTATTTTTATAATTAAAAAGGTCAGGACTTTTAACTCAAAGCTCCGCCCCCTCCCTGCTCAGACCTCAGGTTAAAGATCAGAAACCTCTGAGG